CCTACTGACATGCATTGTTGATTTGTTGGTTTATCTGATTTGAGATTTTTTTTTTTGGACAAATGTTTGATTTAACCCACAAAAAAAAACAAAGATTTATAGTTTCAACTTATTGATTCGGGATTTTATATGTGTCAGAGTTGAAGCCCACTTTACTAATTATTATAGCTACTACATGTTTCAATTATTGATTTAATGAAGATTTTAAACTTTAAACTTAAATTTTCAACTTTTTAATCTTGGATTTAATTTGTTTGTGAAAACGTAGGGTACATAAATTCCAATATATATATATGAAGATAACATTCCTTGAATGTTTATCTTTTTAACCAAAAAATTAAAGTCTCCCACCCTTCCTACATTATAGGGTCAACTGTTGAAATATATTCCTTTATTTCCTTCCTTTGAATTTTTTATTTTATTTTTTTCTTGAGCCAAAAACAGTATATATATATATATAATATATGAGATCCGGTTAAAACCACCTCCCATGTGAGAACTCATTCCATATGTGAGAACAAATCTCAGCCATTAGATTGTACTAATTCAACAGCTGAGATTGTTCAACTAATAATGGCAATAATGTAATTCTTAAAACAAACAAATCAGCCCCAAAAACCCAAATTACGTACAATTTGTATACACCTCTTTCTCTCTCTTTAAAGCTTGAAGGTGGGATTTCTCTCTCCTCTTCTTCACTGCTGCATAATTTCAAGTTCCGAATTGATTTCTCTTATTCGGATTTCTCTTAATTTGATTTTAATTTTGATAATTTCAATTGAATTCCCAAACTTCTTGTTCTGATTTTTGTATCAAATCATCTTCTTCTAATTTTGATAAGTTCAAAACAACTTGAAGGTGGGATTACTATGGAGATTAAAAATTGAAGATCGACGATTTGTTTCCGGAATCATAAGCAAGTTCACACCGACCTCACTCGCCTTGCTCGTGAATCTCGATGTAAGTTTCCGGAATTTGATGAATTTTCATTTAATTTTAATTTTTTGTGGATCTAGTTTTCGAATTTGATTTTGAGCTTACGGTGAATGAAATTGAAGCATTATTTGAGTAATTCAAAAAATTGTATTTTTATCTGGAATTTGTATTTTTGTTGTTGTTGCTACGACAAATTCGACCTGAGATAAATTAGGGTACATGCGGTTTGATAATTGCTGTAGATGATGTCGAATATTTGTTGTTTAATCATGTTTCTGATTATTGCATGAATGCATCGTATTATGCTGTAATTGATAGGACTAGTTTTTAAAGTTAAATATTGGTATTTTAGGAAAACAGCTCAATTCGTCATACCAACCAACTCAATTTATAAGAGAACAAAGAAAATCAGAGGATGGTTACAATTGGAGGAAATATGGGCAGAAACAGGTAAAAGGGAGAGAAAATCCAAGGAGTTATTACAAGTGTACATTTCCAAATTGTCCAATGAAGAAGAAGATTAAAAGGGCAATTGATAGTCAAATTACTGAGATTGTTTACAAGGATACTCATAACCATCCTAAGCCTGTAAACACCAGAAGATCCTCTGCTTCTGCAGCTTTTCAGCAAGGTTCTGTTCCTCAATCATCTAATGATTACCATGACCATTCATTGGGCCCATAGAGATCATCATTCGGGCAAATGGATTCCGTTGTTACACCAGAGAATTCGTCGATTTCGATGGCCGATGATGAGGTTGGTTCTCAGAGGAGTAGATCAGTTGGGACTGATCTTGATGATGTTGATCGGCCTGAGGCTAAAAGATGGTATACTTTTTAATTTACTCATGATTTTATGTTTTTTTCCCCTATTATGTCAACTAGATTAGTCGGTTAAAATCTTGGGATCAATCCCGTCTATGATTAATGCTAATAATATGATTTGTTTATGTGAAATTAGGAGAGGAGAAGTGAAGAATGAATGTATGTCAACTGCACCAGGGATTAGAGCAGTGAGAGAGCCAAGAGTAGTAGTTCAAACAACAAGTGATATTGATATATTGGATGATTGATATAGATGGAGGAAATATGGTCAGAAAGTTGTCAAGGGAAATCCAAATCCAAGGTAAATTCATACTCTTTTCCTTATTATAACTATTATCTTGTTTTTGGTTCAAAAAGTTAGTATTGGATTTTGGCTAGTTTTAGTATATAAAAAGTGAACATATTTGTATAGAAATTTGTCTGCCTTTGTTATGCATTTTAGGTCTAGGAAATAAAAAATACATATTAATGAATGATGATGATGGAATGGCTTTAATCTCATTACTTGGCTAATTAATGTATGATTGATTTGATGATAACCCGGGATGTTTGAGGATGAGTGTGATGCTGTGTCACTAGCTATTGTTGAGTGCGTAAGGCAGTTGGGCATGTGGTGTATTGCAGGGTAGCTGAGGCTAGCATCAAGTGGGTGGTAAAATGAGCAACCATTTGTAATATAAACAAACATTTCTTTGATCATTTGGAAAATGAGCAATCGATTTTTTGCTCATTATTTATTAAATGAGCAAATAGTTAATTGCTCATTTGTCAAATGAGCAAATAATTAGTTGCTCATTTGTCAAATGAGCAAAAACTTAGTTGTTCATTTGTCAAATGATCAAATGATTAGTTGCTCATTTGTCAAATGAGCAAACATTTCCTTAATCATTCATTAAATCAACAAGCATTTCTCTGCTCATTTGTGAAATGAGCAACCATTAGTTTGCTCATTTGTCAAATAAGCAAATAATTAGTTACTCATTTGTAAAATAAGCAAACATTTTGTTTGATCATTTGGAAAATGAGCTATCAATTTTTTGATTATTTGGGAAATGAGCAATCAATTTTTTACTCATTTAGCAAATGAGCAGATAATTAGTTGCTCATTTTCATTAAATCAACAAGCATTTCTCTGCTCATTTGTGAAATGAGCAACCATTAGTTTGCTCATTTGTCAAATAAGCAAATAATTAGTTACTCATTTGTAAAATAAGCAAACATTTTGTTTGATCATTTGGAAAATGAGCTATCAATTTTTTGATTATTTGGGAAATGAGCAATCAATTTTTTACTCATTTAGCAAATGAGCAGATAATTAGTTGCTCATTTGTCAGATAAGCAAATAATTAATTGCTCATTTGTCAAATGAGCAAATATTTAGTTGTTAATTTAAAAAATGAGCAAAAACTTAGTTGCTCATTTGTCAAATGAGCAAATAGTTAGTTGCTCATTTGTCAAATGAGCAAACATTTCTTTAATCATTCATTAAATTAAAAAGTATTTCTTTGCTCATTTATCAAATGAGCAACAATTCTTTGTTCATTTTATCAAATGAGCACACAATTCTTTGTTGATTTATCAAATGAACTGATTAAAAATTTATAACATAGAAAATGATTTAAAACATATGATAAAACCTATTATCTCAATTGGTAGTGCACTATGCAAATGCATAGGGGATGTAGGTTCAATTCCTACATAGGTTATCTTTGAAAAAAAAAATTAATTAAAAACAAAGGAAATTTTGACTTTTGCTACCACAAAAAGCATTGAGTTTCATTTTTGCTACCCCTTAAATTTTTTTTTTATTTTACTACCACCTAAAAACACCTTTGTCAAAATTTGTTACCACTTGACGGAAGCTGTTAGTTTTGCCGTTTGTGGGCCCCACTTCACCCCTGCCCCCAGCCACCAATCCCCTTCCTCTGCCACTCCCCCTCCACCCCCTAGCCACCTGTCCCGCATCTCCCCTTCCCCTGCCGCTCCTTAAAAACGATGCACTACCCCTTCCCCTACCGCGACGGTGAGAGTTTCGAGGGTGGGGAAGTTGGGGTTTCGAGGGTGGGGTTGTTGGGGTTTCGAGGGGATCGCCGGAGATCGAAAACGTTTAGGGTTAGGGTGTTCGAAAAGGGTAGGGGAAGGGAAGGGGGGGTCGATTTCGGTGGGGGAATGGGGAGGGGGCCGATTCCGGTGGGGCGAATGGCGAGGGGAGTGGTTTCCGGTTCAGGGTGGCGGTCGGGGCAGCAAGAGGGGAAAAGCGAGGGGGGTGGCTGCGTAGGTGGGGGAAAGGGATTGGGGGGTGGCTGCGTAGGTGGGGGGTCGCCGGGGTTGGTGGGGGAAAGGGATTGGGGTGGGGTCACCGGCGTTGGCCTTAGTTTGGCCGCCGGTCGCCGGCAGGGGGGAGGGGGCTGACGGGATTGGGGGCAATTAAGGGTGGTTGGGTTTTTTTTTTTAAACATTTTAATTTTTTTTTTTTTTAATAAACTTAACGGAATCTTGAATAAACTTAACGGAATCTTAACGGATTCCGTTAAGTGGTAGCAAATTTTGACAAAAGTGTTTTTAGGTGGTAGTAAAATAAAAAAAAAATTTAAGGGGTAGCAAAAATGAAACTCAAGGTTTTTTGTGGTAGCAAAAGTCAAAATTTCCTAAAAAAAAAAATCAAATTCGTACTAAATTATATGAGCAAAAAACTGGTTTGAAATGATTTATAACTATATGAACTTAGTTACAATTGAAGTCTCATACAAACTTGTGTCTCCACTTTACATAAATAAACCTACGTGGGATTCGAACCCACATTTTTTGTGCATTTGCACAATGCTCTACCCTTGAGCTAGTAGGCTAACGTATTTAAAACATTCAAACACACTCACAAATGAGCATTTATTTGACAAAATGAGCAAAAATAATTGCTCATTTGACAAATGAGCAAAAAATTAATTGCTCATTTTGACAAATTATTTCTCATTTTTGACAAATTAGTAAAGAATAAATCAGCAAATGAGCAAACATTTGTTTAACTATTCCTGATAGCATGAACAACAAAAGACCTCACCAAATTACGATGTCAAGTAGAATAGCTCAAGAAATCATGCTAATTTTCTAAGCAATTCACATCTTCGAGGAACCTTGCAAATCTAAAGTAAATCATTTGTCAAAGCTTAATATTAGGTATTAAGAAGTTCCCTGTCATCAAATTCAGCTACTACACAGCAGACTAGCAGAGTATATATTACACCTAATGATTAATTTGTAAGTTCAGGAATATCTAGCTAGGCTCTGTTTCAAGCATTAAGTCAGAAAGCACATAACAAGAGCTCAGAACTACACTAATGCCAAGATGGTCAATACTTTCTTGGTCAATCTTGGAATGGTATTAGAATCATATATGTAAATTCTTGGTCGTTCCTTTATTGTTAAATAGACGCAAAAAAACCCTCCTTCCTTTTGCGCATCATGGCCACTGTAGAGAGGTAAAAGTATTTATTTTGACATAATTCATGCACATATATTGCATGCACCTGTTAAAACAGGAGAATGCATTTTTCATAATCTTCACATTACCATACCTTGGGTAATCCTAGCACACTCACATTAAGTATTATAAAGCTAAACTGCAAAGCTACTTGTTATGCTCAGAGGATTCCAGCACCAGGAAAAGAACTTACCCTGATATTCCCATGACAACTGTAGGATCAAGTGTTCCATCATTAATGATACACCAATTATCAGATGAAGTACGAAGCAGCTTTTCTTCAAGATGTAGTTGTTGTAGTATAGGTACTCCATTCATTCTTATTAGATTCATCAACGGAAGCCTAGAGTTTCTCAGTTGGGATATAGCCATTACAGAAGTAACCTATAATCACCTCAGTTCCAATTTTACTAATTAATAAAATGCTTTTCATAAATTATGATGCAGTGTTACTCCTCTGATTTCTAGATGTTCCAAGAAAACAAAAAAAAAAGACCCTGCAAAGGATAAAAGAGATTCAAGACAGGCTAATTACGGTATATTCTTATCTGCTGGAGCCATAACTTACATCTTGGAAGGGCCGAAACTCATTTTTCAACATTCTAACCCACCAACAACATTAGCACAGCTTATCTATAATCAGCCAAGCATACAAACTACAAAGTTATTAGAACTAACAAGAAGCAAAATGCAATCTTTCCCTAAAGATCACGTATATAACATTGGCTGAAACGCAATAATATTGACCAGAAAGTAATAAAAAAGACCCTTCTCTGAGTTCTCCCTATTTGGTATATGGCAAATTACCCTCTCCTCTCAACAGAATATAAATTCCTCAATCAAACCATCCTTTACAGTTCCCACATCCTCTTAATATTAATAATTAGTTCTTTATCCATTGAAGCGCCCAATCAAATCACAATCTCTCTCTATACACTATACAGCTTGCCTCATACCTTTTTAATGCTTACTTGCTTCTTCCCAGCAACAGAAATAAAAAATTTGTACTTTTATGAAAAAATAGAATAACATTCTGTTAAAAAAGGTGAAATTGGTTGTTAAAAAGAAAGCTAAAATTCGAGAGAACATCTATGACATTTGGACAAACTGTATTCAAGTTCAAAACATTAAAACTTCCAACAAAATTAGATTATACCCTGCATTACAATCTTCAATTTGTAATGAAGTACTCAATTTTCAGGGTCTTTTTTCTAATCAATTGAAAAAACCAATCTTGGGGGTCCAAAGCTCCAAACATTTAGCTTTTCGCTTAGACATTTTATTATCGAACAGTTTACGTGCATCCTCAATTCCTCCCTCACAATAACCATACATGTCTAGTTTAAACACCGACCCATGAAGCTATTTCTACAATCTCAAATCCTCGACTCCAGTATAGACCTAAAGAACAAAAGGGTATAAAATAGCTTGAAACACCAAATAGATATATAATTTAAAGATGGAAGATAAAATTAAACTAACCTTCGAAGCTTTGCCCCCTTCAGCTAGATCCGAAAGAATTGTTGGTGACCACCTCTCTGGAAGATCGTCGGATGCGGTGGTTTAAATCTATTTTGAAATTCAATAAATCTAGGGTTTTTGTTCTTTAATTCGAATGTGGGAGATTGTACAACATTCGATTGTGGGAGATCGAAATCAGTATTTAGAACAATAAACTGCAAAATGTATAAGAATTGAAGTAGAAATTTTGAGGAATTAAAGTCGACATTTTTGGGGATAAAATGTCAGAGAGGGAGAATATCAGCTGCACCAATTTTAGAGAGAGAAAGAGCTAGAACGATTTTTAGAAACTTTATTATATACAACTTAGAAAGTTCTTTAATTTACAATAGTGCCATTACTTTGACAGGAGTAGATATGGAGCGTTGGATCTTGATTGATCTAAAGGCTGTAAGTTGTTCTCACATATAATGGGTTCTCACATAATCCCATATATATATATATATATATATATATATATATATAATTTTGATAAAAATCTACCGTTATATTTTTAAATTTTAAAAAAAAAAAAACCAATCTCTCTTAAAATAACAATCCATCTACTATTTTGGTTTAAAATACCTAGATCTTTAATGAACAAATCAAAACGAACAAATCAAAACATGGATGAATATAATGAAATATATATGCCAGTGGAACCAAGTGAAAAGGCTCTTGACTATTTTTTTTGATGAGAATACGTAGGATTCTTTTAAAAAACCTTTCAAGGATTTTGATGAAACAGACATGAAATCATTAGAGTTTCATTCACTGGAAGCATGTGAAGAATTTTAGTCAATCTATGCAAAAATCAAGGGTTTTGGCATTAGAAAAAGGAGTCCACGATATACCGTTGACGGACATCCAATTTCTTTTCCATTTGTATGTGAAGCCCAAGGTTGTCGAGATGCAAAATGGGATAATTTAGAGAGAAGAAAGAAAATTCCGGAGAATATAACACGGTTTAATTGTGAAGCAAAAATGCGAGTCTAGTGCATCCAATATTTGGAAAGTATATCATTTCATTGGAGAACATTCACACCCTCTAGTGCATCCAAAGCATGTGCCATATATCAGGTACGATTGATTAAAAAAAAATTGTATTGTATTGTATCATGTATGTTATATGTATAGATTCATAAATGAATATAGGTGTTCAACTTAATATTTGTATTATAGGTGTTCAAATTTAGTATGGATAGTTTTAAAATTTCATCATTGTACTTGAAAATAAAAAATAATAAAAATTAAAAATAATCATTGTATAATTTGGCATTCAAGTGATGAATTTGATATGAAATTGAGATATGTACTACTTCCTTCAATTAACTTGAATTTGATATTAACGTAATCAAAGATTTATGACATATGGAGAAAGTAACAAAGACAATTTTGGATGCGCTAAATATAATTAAAATTAAGTTGTCTTACATTCAAGGAAAAATCAAAATGTACTACCTTCAATTTTAATATATTATGCAGGTCTCACAGAAAAATAAAAGATGCTGATAGAATTGTAATTACTCAATAGTACAATTTTGGAGTCAATCAAAGTAGTATATTGAGACATATGGTTAATCAAGTAGGAGGACATGAAGCACTTACTTTGTTGAACCAGGACTTGTATAATTTTGTTGAAAGAACTAGACAACAAGAAGTAGAAGGTGGGGATGCAGAAGCTGTGTTAGCATATTTGATAGGTAAAAAGGTGTATGATCCTAATTTTTTTATTTCTTACACTCGTAACGCATCTAATAATTTGGAAAAGTTATTTTGGTATGATGGAGCGTCTAGGGTGGATTATAAAACCTATGGACATGTTTTAGCTTTTGATACAACATATAAATGTAATGTCTACAATAAGCCATTTGTAGTACTAGTAGGTGTTAATAATAATCGGAGAACAGTGATATTTGGTAGTGCACTTATCGTTGATGAGAAGGAAGATACTTATACTTGGGTGTTGGAACAACTAATTCAAGCAGGAGATGGACTAATCCGTTTGATAGGGTGTAAAACATTTTTAATGTAAAATGATTTTCCATGAAAATCATTTTACAATGGAAAACACATTTTAAAAAAAGTTTTCCGTTGTTTGGTTGAATGGAAAATGATTTTCCATTTTAAACATTTTCCATTGTTTGATTGAATTGAAAATTCAATTGTGAGGGAAAATGTTTTCCCTCCACTTGTGATGGAAAATATTTTCCTTCTAAATTGGGGGGAAAATGTTTTCAATAAGGTGGAAAATGATTTTCCACCCCAAGTTTTACATTTTAATGTTTTACACCAAACCAAACAATGTAAAATGGAAAAACACTTTTCAGTGAAAATGTTTTACACCCTACCAAACGGAGCCTAAAACCAAAAACAGTATTAACAAATGGTGATAAAGCCATGGCTAATGCTATTAAAGTAGTCCTCCCTAACACTAAGCACATGTTTATGCTTATGGCATTTAATGCGAAATGTGAAGTCAACGGTGGAAAAGAATTTGGCAATTGTTTTATAAGATGTCTTGATAGATATAGAGCGCCGATTGATTTAGAAAAGGCTTGGAAAGAACTCATAACCAAATTAAAACTCAAAAATTCAAAGTGGGCGACTCAATTGTATGAAGACAAAGAAAAATGGGCAGAAGCTTATATGTGCGGTTATTTTTTTGCAGGTAATTTTTTTCACTTACTTTGGCAATTAGTTGAAGATTATAATTTATCATTAATTCTAGTACTCTAGAGATGAAACTTTTTTTTTTTTTTTTGTTTTGGTTAAATAAAGAATGGGCTTAGGTGTCTGGGATTTGAGTTTCTTTGTTATTTTGGCTTCTGTTTGATAAACTTGCTCTTCTGTTTCATGTAATTTGAATCTTTTATGATTTTATCTTCTTACTACAAGCCGAACAAGGATGCATCAATAGTGTAAAACTTGATTCTAGTTTAGTGTCTACTGTCTCGCGAATATTGAAGCAGATTGTCTACCACTGTGATTGCTGATTCTCCCCCACTTCAACCACTGATTAATGCCATTGACATTTATTATTGTGATGCCTAGTACAATCAGGCCCAAGTTTCTGTTTCTGTTACTAAAATTAGATCTTGGAAGTGCTCTTTTCCTCATTTATATTTTGGGGGTTTGTGTGCTACGTATGATTTTATTGAACTTGTGTTTATAAATAAACCTTCTTTTGTTGCCTATATTTCTATAAATTAGCTCATAGCTAGATATCTAATCGTGTTGGATTTTGCGGTATCCGACACCGTGCAGAAACAAAACCCAGGAACCGAATCGCATGCATAATAATTACAACATAAACAAAAGCATGCAAATAAACAAAACACAAACACATAAAGAGAAGAGAGAGAAAGAAGCTCACTGTAGACGCATGCTTTGCTCACTAATCGAGCTCGGACTTGGAAACCTTCAAGCCCCGCAAATGCAAGACCTCCAACGTCTCACACCCTCAATCACCGAACCGGCCCCTACCCCGTAGCTTAGACGGGGGCTAGACCAAGATTACTTAGAGTTTACGAACTAAGGTTTTCTCACACTTTGAGAGATCCCTTAGAGTTCACCAACTCAAGTGAAATCCCCAATACCCAATGATTAGTATTTATAGGAAATGTTTCCAAGATTTCCCATCATCTTTCAATGTGGGATAGTTGGTAAAATGCCAAAAAGATATAATCTAAGTATAAAATTAAATTAAAAGGCAAAACAATCACCAAACAACAAGTGTCACAAGGAGAGCAAGGGAGTAGGTGAGGACCACAAAGGGAAGGACCACCTTCCCCTTGCTCCCTAAGCAAAATGCCGGCACCAACCATGTGGTGCCAGCTAGCGCCAAACCTTGGCACCAAGGCACGCCTTGCTGGCGGCCTGATGCTCGGCTGGGCTTGCCAGCCTGCTCGCCCACGCGCGCGGCCCAACGAGCATGCCTCGCATGCTATTGCGGGCTGCTGCGCTGGGCGCGACATCTGCCAACGAGGCCCAGTGAGCCTTGCTGGCGCGCCATGCTTGCGTGCTTGGCCTTGCTGGCCATGCCTTGTCCGCAAGGCTTGCTCGGCTAGTACGCTTAGCCATATATATGATGCATGCTGGGCTTTTGGCCAAGCCTTGCCTTGCGGCAAGGGCTTTGGCTAGCCATGCTAGCCCACCTAGCCCTCGCATGGCTAGGCCATTACGAGGCTAAGATTTTCACGCGCGTTAACTTGTTGCTTGACTGATTTTTCCGTTCGTCGATTCCTAAAT